TATATTACACGAATATATATATATATATATATATATATATATATATATATATATTACACGATATATATATATATATATATATACACGAATATATATATATATATATATATATATATATATATATATATATATATATTATATATATATACGAATATATATATATATATATATATATATATATACGAATATATATATATATAATATATATATATAATACACGAATATATATATATATAGAAAATATATACTATATATATATATATATATATATATATAAGCTATTTATCTATGTAAGTGGAGGCGAAACGAAAAATGATCGAATAAAGTTAATGGTTTTTGATCATTTCGTCAGAAATCGGTCAGTAAAACAACTTTTTCAGCACCTCTAAGTGTGTGTACGTGTACCGAAGTTTATAGTTAAATTTAAGAACATTTCATTGCGAAAATTCAAATAGATAACGAATTGGACACTTCCACTCGGTATAACATTTAGCAAGCTTGTCTTGCTACAAAATTTACGCCTGAGTAGTGAGTTCGATCCTCACGAAGTGCCCCATACTTTCGTCCTTGTGACAAATCTAAGCGCAGCTTAGATTATCACTACATATAACGAATTGGACACTTCGATGTGGTTAGCAAGCCTGTTTCACAAAATCAGTTATGCCTGAATAGTGAGTTCAATCCTGTCTATGTGCTCCATAATTTCGTCCTTGTGCTTCACTTGGTAAATCGTTAGTGAACGAATTAATATCTTCTAAATATTTTCTTTGTTTTATATTAAGCCGTCGACATGAGAAAGAAAATAAACTCGAAATTGCGTAACACTCGTATTCTCCGTTTACTTGATGCAAAGACTTTGGGCGTGGGCCAATAGATAAACAGCACTCCTAAAGAACCAAATCGCACATACACATCAATAGAAGCACTTCCTGGTTTCAGAATTTCTTGCCTAACACTTTCCACCCTATGACAACTCTTTCCGAGCCCAAACTTACATGCCAATAGCTGACTAGTTTGCCGCTTGATAGCATGTTGCCAGCCTACATTCGATCACCATCGAGAGAAAAAAAAAACAAAACAAAAAAAAAAAAACCAGGTCGTTAATTATTGACATATTATTTACTATGTCATCTTTTAAATTTATCAGTATGTGTGTACTAGTGTGCGTATGATAGTGTGGGTACTTTTTGTGAGTTCATGTGCCTGTTTATTTGTGTGAGTTCTTGATCATCTATTTGTGTCTGTATTTCTGTGGGCACACACTAGATTTAAGGATCCGTTTTGCACGAACTCCTGAATCAACATTCTAATTCTTTTTTCCTTTTTACATACATTTAATAAATCAAACCACAGGAATGAGAAAATACAAGGAGAATCACCCACAAGACTTTGTGTGTGTTGTGTCTGTGTGTAAAAATTCAGATATAAATATATGTATTTGTAAAGACAATATTAATAAAAGAAGTGACAAGATAAAAACCTATCCTATAGCGTTTTTCTCCTTGAAGAAATTTATCAAGGCAAGGGTAGACATTTTTAGTTAACTTATTTTTTAGCGTTCTATAATTCTCTATAAATACTATTGACTAAATAAAATTTCTACACTTGCCTTGATAAAGTTTCTCAAGGAACAAAACACGTTGGCATAAAAGGTTTTCCACTTTTCATTATATATATATGTGTGTGCGTGCGTATATATAATATATATATATATAGTGTGTGTGTATGTAATATGATATTAATACCCGTTTGTTTTAAATATAAAATACGAGTCCTGTCTATTTTAAAGGCTATATATATATATATATATATATATATATATATATTTAAAATAAAAACCGTAATCCCCGTATGATATGAGGACAGCGCCAGGATTGCGTTAACCAGATATCTTTATTAAAATTTAGATTATGTAACGGTCAGTCTCTACCAAGCACCTGAAGATTGCTTTGCTTTGTCGCGATACTGGTGATGGATAATATGTATATTTATTAAGCTATACATCATACGTTTGTTATATTACATTGAGCGCTATTTTATTAACACCAACACTAAATGTGCTATATCTTATATTCACACACACACACACACATATATATATATATATATATATATATATATATATATATATATATGTGTGTTTCAGTAAAAATATCTAAGAAAATATTTCTGTTAAGTTATGTTTTACTTTTATATGAACAAGAGATTTCTTTTGTGAACAAGAGTATATAGAACTTCTCAACATGATTTTCCGCTCGGAATACTTTCAGTTAATCTATTAGCTGTTTTCAAGGGTTTTGGTTGGGCTATTGCAAATGGTGTGTAATATGCCTGGAGGTGGGGGGGTAGACATATTTTTAGTTCTCGAATACGGCCAGTATATTATAGCTGTGTTTGTAGTCAGTTGCTGTTACGAGATGTATTTTGTACGATAAGTGATTCACTTTTTTCATATATATATATATATATGTGTGTGTGTGTGTGTGTGTACAACAACAAAATCACACACACGCATTTACTCACTAAGGCAGTGGTTTCCATTTTTTTTTTTCTTGGCCGCTTCTTCGGAATTAAAATTTTCTCGCGCCTCACCAAATTTTATGTGGTGAAAAGAACATTTAAAAGTAAAAAAAAACAAAAACAAACAAACAAACAAAAATTGTTAAAGGGAGATAACCGCGGATTCGAAGTCAGAATATTGTCATTGATAACTTTCCACTCCAATTTCTGGACCCGAGTTACTATATTCTTAACACTTGATATATTGCAAAAATCTCACAATGATAAAATCAGTCAATAATTATTTATAACTATTTATACTGGATGTCATACATGCAATTACAAGTAATTCATAATAATACCTTAAATTTTAAAATCATATTTATTTTGATTGTCTTTCAATCATTCCGCCTCACCTGCTATCCTCTTCCGCCGCATTGTTTGTGAACCACTGCACTATGACATGTACATTCAATTAAAATTAAATATTTTATCATATATGTGCATTCGCCTATGTAAGCACTTGTGCGCTTCTATGCATTTATGTGTAGAAATAGAGAAATGATGTAGAAATACAATATAGGTGCATTTCTATCTATGCATTTATGTAAATACAGGTGAAAGATATATATCTCAAACAAAATGGTGCAAAAGTAAATTGCAAAATAGAAAATAAAAATTGAATGATACGTTATATGGAACTTTTTTTAGACAACTGGTGAAATGACTTCTATATATCAAAGGGATAGGTTGGGAATTTGGTACAATAAACGCTGGTTACAGTTTACATCTAAACGTTAAAGATGCAGAGACGTTCAGTTATATTTCTATGCATTTATTCAAATATAAATGGATTTATCAATAGAAATATTGCTATAAGGTGCATTCCTATGCATTTATTTACATATAAATTGTTCTAATGAACTTTCCTTTATGGTATCTAAATGTTTTTAATTTAAACGCACTACTAGATTGGCAACAATATCTTATCGTTTTCCATTTGAAATGACGAGATGCAACCGTAAGTTCTATGCTTACAGTTTCTTTAGCATTTCTCGCTCGTAAAACTCTCTTCCGGCTTTTTGCTTCCAGTCAATTGTGATCTTCAAAAATTTAAATGCCGTATCAATCATTATCCTCCGTCGTCTTAATTCCTGTTTTTTTATTGTTCTCGCTCCTTAATAATGTTGTTTTTCATATTTATATATTTTTGTCACATTCGATAACCTACCTGCGTCTTAGTGTGTTTGCTGCCTTGCTTGAAGTGAGATGAATATATATATATATATATATATAGGCGCATTTCTATGCATTTACTTACATACAGCTACATTTCTCTGCATTTATTTACATACAGGTAACTTTTACGGTTGCATCCAAACACACACACACACACACACACACACACATATATATATATATTATGAATTAACTGATTTAAAATATGGTTTAAATCAGTTAATTTATAATATTAATGCTCTGTAAATTTACATTGAGCACTATTTTGTAAAAATAAGAATATCAATAAGAACACCGGATTATATATCTTACTGTTCTTTCTTTATATATATATATATATATATATAATCACACACACACACACACACACACACACACACACACACACGGTGTTCCAAAAACAGGTAGTCATTTTTTGACTTCCTATAAATTATTGGATTAGTTTTCTTTTTTTTTTCTTTTTTTTTTTTTTTTTAGATCCATGCTTTAATTTAAACTACCATGCCCTTTTGTGAGTTAATAAACCTTAATATTGCTTAATTTTAACCATTAATTTTGTTTCCAAGTCAATAAACACTGCATTTATTGATATTTAAAGAGTGCGTACATAGTTTGGACGCACCGTGTACATTTCTAAACTTTAGATGCATTGTTATGCCTTTTATTCTAATATAGGTACGTTTCTTTGCATTTTTATATAGACATAAAGAATTTTGCCAACTTGTGAAATTATCTATGATGATAAATACTGGAACTTTTTTCTACGGCTCAGTCTATTTACTGTCATTTCGTCAAAAATCGCTTTATTTAGGTTTTGAGTGTGTGCGCATGCGCATCTATTATTTTTATATTTTTAACTCACCGTGTCTATGTTATATATATATATATATATATATATATATATATGCGTCTATATTTATAAAATTAATCCATACATTTATAATTATCTATTCAAGTACGTTTGTGCAGCTATTTTTAAAATGCTTGCGTTGATCGGGCCTGCAGAAATCGGCTCAAATTTGTGTGTGTGTATAGTTTTGCAGTTTTCTATTTAAATGTTTATGTGTGCTGGTTTTACAACAGTATGCGAATTAGTTCCCGCCAATTGTTTTCTTTTTTTTTTTCCATTTCTTTTCTTTTGATCTGTCCACCCAACTCTTGTGTCCCTCCCCTCAACCTTCTTGCCGTATTTTCGCAACGGCTTCTGCTGCAGGCTTGTCTCAAATGTCAGGTAACCAAGGCTGGCTGTACGTCTGGCGCTACTAGAAACAGTGTATGGAGCAAAGAAAGACAATAAGCAAGAAGAAAACAATAATTAAAAAAGAGAGTGTGTCTTTGCGTAAAGTCTCAAAGAATGATAAGAAAAAATAAACAAGAAGGAAACAAAAGCTAAAAGAATTAAAGATGAAGAAAAAAGATGAGAAAACAAAAGAAAGAGGATTAAATAAAAAGAGAAGATGCATTAAAAGAAAGAAAAACGAAGAGAAAGAAGAAATGAAAGATCCTGAATGAATTAACCAAGAAAAAAAAACGAGAATAAGGAAAAAAAAAATTAAATAACAAAAAAAGAATAAAGAGAAATAAACGCTAAAATGAACGGAAAAAAGAATAAAAGAGCAAGAAAGAATTAAGGAAAAAAGAAAGAAAAAGAAATGAAAAACTATTAAATAAAACAGAAAAAAAAAACAAAGGAAAAGCAAGATAAGCTGAAAGAAATTAAAAAGGAAACAAGGAAAAAAAGATCAAGAATGAAGAAAGAAAATTAAGGAAAAAGAAGAATTGAGGAAGAAAACATTCAAAGAACGTAAACAGAAAGAAAGAATTAAAAACAAATATGAAGAAAGATAACGAAAAAGAACGGAAAGAGAATTAAACCAAAGAAGAAAGGAGGAATAAAGAAAAATTATAAGAACAAAAAATAAAGACTCAAAGATTAAAGAAATAATTAAGTAAGGAAGAAAGTGGAAAAGAAAATGAAAGTGGATTTAATAAATAAAAAAAAAACGCAAGTGAAGAAAATATAAAACGAATAATGAAAGAGTTCCGCAAACAAATTTTAGAAAATGCGAAGAACCTCTGAAAGACGAGGCAAAAAAAAAAAAAAGCTTAAAAATATTCGTAAAATATTGAATGTAAATGCAATGAAGATGATGATAGAAATTAGGCTGGCGTTGAAGATGAAGACAGCGTTAGTTGAGAAGCAGACTGTTGGCTACGAAGGCGGTGATGCAAGACTAGAAGGAAGAACTGAATAAAAGCAGGCAGGCAAACATATGCAAATATTCAAGGATGAAGAAGATAATGATATCTAAGATATTGTATTTACTTCATCTGTGACTGGCGTCAAGACTTCTTTTTTTTTTATAGAAAGAGAAGAAGTAAAGAGAGAAATAAGAGAAAGAAATAAGTATAAAAAGAAAGAAAGGCTGGAATGGTTTGAAAGAAGAGAGAAAGCAGAAAATGGGAGAATGTAAAAGAGAAACGAAAAAAGAGTAAAAGTTGTACAACAAAAGAAAAAGAGCATTGAGTAAATGCGTGTGCCAAGAATGGTAGGAAGGGGAGAGAAGAAAGAAGAGGAAATCGAATAAAAGAAGAGGATAGTGGCGAAGATGAAGAGAGAAGAGGAACTAGAAAAAAAGCAGTCAGAAGCTAGCAAAGATGAAATATAGTAATTTTGAAAGGCGAAAGTAAACAAAAACTGGAGAAGAGTAAAAATGGAGACGAGGGTAGGAAAGAAAGTCGACAGAAAAGTGGAACTCGAAGAAAAACGTGGAGAGAATCTAGTAAGGAAGAAAAGAATGAAATTAAACAGGAAGCCAAAAAAGAGAAGCGTAAATAAGTTGAAAAAAAAGGAAAAAAAAAATGAGGGAAGGGAAGATTAAAAACAGAAAAAAAAAAAGACGAGGAAAGAAGGAGAAAAAGAAGAACAAAAAAAACAAAAAAAACAAGAAAAGACCAAGATAAGGAAAAAGATGAAGAGAGAAGAACTAAGAGAGAAGCAGAAAGTTAGAAGCTAGAAAGGGAAAATAAATGAAATTTAAAAAGAGGGAAAAGAGTAGAGAAAAACGGAAGCAAAAATAAAACAAAATGGAGAGGATGATAGAGAGAAAGCAAAAAGAAAAATAAGAAAGACAGAAGAACCGTTAAAGGAGAGAAATCAAAAAGTGATAAGAGAGAAGGAAAGTCAACAGAGACTAAGAGAGAGAGGAAAGATTAGAGGAAGGAATAGGAGAGAAGAATAAATGCAAGAAGGTTGGACTGAAAAAGAAAGATAAAAGGAGTCCCATTTTCGTTTTCAGTTGCTAGTTCGTTTTTGGTCCTTTCTGTTTGCAGTGAAGTTTCGGTTTATATTTCCAGGTCTGGTGTGACTGGGAGTAAGGGTTGGTTAGAGGGGAGGGGTAGATACTTGTAAGTATGAAGGGTGAGCGTGCGGTGATAGGTAACGGTGTGGTGGCGGTTCTGCAGCAAGGCCAAGAAATGACGTTCAGCTCGCTAAATATAGAAGAAACTAAAGGTAAGTTCAATGATTCTTCCGTTTGGAAGGATGATTGAGACAGAAGACATCTTGTCGATCGATGGCCAGTCGTTTTTATTAGAGAATCGTGTATCCCTCCATTCAACACACAGCCACTGTGTTCGCTCTCTTAGTTTCTCTCACTCTCAAAATACATCATTTACGATATTCTTGTCTTCCACTCACACTCAAATACAAGGCCCCCATACAAACACAGAAATATACATTGCTATTACTAGCCACTAGCTGATAGTTAGGTATGTAATCTCTAATCTAATATAGTGAGTTTGATCCTTACGAGGTACTTTCCATTAGGGCCCTGAGCCAGATTTCGTTAAACAATAAATACCTACAAGGACTTTTGCAAAAGGACATTTCTTAGCTAAGTGATTTTGAAGTTCGATCTGTTTCTAGTGTATCCATGAGCTAGCTTACATTAAACTAAGGAAAACTCTATATGACATTTGCTTGTATGGTTAAAACATAATCCCTTGCACAGTTCTTTGTGGATGACCGTGTATATATTTTAATTTTTATTTCTTTGTCATCCTATTAGATACACTTATTTTAGGACTGATTGTTTTGTCTTTTTTTCCGTATCAACAACATAAGCTATTTTGTTTTATTTTATTAAAATTCGTTTATTCTAAGAGAAGTATTCTGAATTGGCATTGATTATCATTTTTCAGATGTCCTTCACGCAAGCAGGTCGATATCGGCTTATCTGAAATGTCTGTGAAATTTATTTTCCTCCCCATTTTTAGATTTATTATTTTAGAGAGTTTTGATCTGACATTTGTTTTTCAATTCTGCATCTTTTGGCTGTCATAATTAATCTTTCTTTATATTATTATTTTATTTATTACTTTGTGGAGCTTCTGGAACGGTTTCAAACGCCTTTACAAAAAGACTGAAGGAGAATCTGGAAATCTGAGGAAAAATTGAAACAGCTCGGACAACAGTATCATTGAAATGGCAAGTTATTAAGGAAAACGATAGCCTTGACCCTCAGCGCGTGCCACAAGATACTGGATATATATATATATATATATATATATATATATATGTAATGGATAGCGGCTTGGATTGAGGAATCGGAGAGCCGAGTTCGAATTCCAGCCTTAATTACGTGCTAATATCCTTGTGAAAGGTGTGAATCCTCTTCTTCTCCCTCCATCTGGGTTCTGTAGCTTTGGATGACAACTGGTCTCTGAATTCAAAACCTGCAGAGGGTCGTTTGGGTACCCTGTGATGCACCAGGTCTCTGAATTCGGCCTTTCAAAAAGTGTGGCTGGTCTTGCACGAAACCTTCATCACTATAATCAAATCTCATGTGCTGCTGTCGGTTTCCTGGGGACTGATCTACTTGACCCTCATACGTCGAATTCGACTGGAGAGTCGATATATATATATATATATATATATATATATATATATATATATATATATATATATATAACCTCCCTCAAAAAAATTTATCCACCTGCTCTTATATGCAAAGTAGAATAATCTGGTTGGCTAATGTTTGCCAAAACACGATCTTTATTTTTGTTTTCTTTAGTAATGTACCGTTTTCCCTCAGGAGACAGGCGATCATGGTTCTCTACTACTTCCTATTCCTTCTAACTCTTAATAAATTTTGTATTTCTGTTATTTCTCTTAAACCCCGTTCCGCCATCCATTTACGAAAGCTCACTAAGTATTTTATGCGTTGTTTTCCTCTGTTCATCTTGCTCTTTATCTGTCCCGTGAGTATCGGATTTTCCAAGCCTTCTTTCCTCATTATGTGCCCCAGAAACCTCAATTGTCTCTTCCTGATGTTAAGTAGAAACTTCTTTTTTGTTTCCATTTTCTCCAAAACTTCGTTGTTGCTCACTTGTTCGGCCACGGTATCCTTAGCATCCTTCTGTAGAATCACATTTCTGTTGCTTCAAGCCTACTCTTCATCTTTGAGAAAATCGTCCAGCATACACTGACATACAGGAGGATAGTAATCACACAGCAGTTTAGTATCCCTGTCATTGTTTCTAGCGAAATTTTCCTATTTCCTCGTACGCTGCTTAGCTTTTAGAATGCATCTTTGGCTATCTCAATGCGTCTTCGTATTTCAGTGTTGCTCTTTCCGTTCTCCGTGAAAACACTTCCCAAATAAATTTCCAGAATTCAAACTTCATCCATTATACTTTAATATTGTCTACTCAAATAACATCAACATGATGATCACCATCATTGTCTATACAGGGTGTATCAAAAACACTTCTACAAACTTTGCGGGGAGGATTTCTCACACCAAAAGAAAGACACTATTCCCTATAAACTTATGCCCGTAAATGCTTCGATTTTGAGTTTAAAGTTTACGGTAGCCGCTGTTAAATTTATAATCCAAGATACAATCCCAGAAAACTTTTACAAGATTTGTGGCCGGTTCCTGACAAAGTAAAAAGTCCGTATAAACATATGTCCAAAAAGCCATTGTTGTATCGCAACACAACAACTCATAACATATGTTCAAAATGTCCTCCGCTTGCATCTACATAACCATAGAGGAGCTTCCCTTGAACTACCCTCCATACTGTACTATAAGATATGCGACACGCTAAGGTCACTTGTCCTGTGCTGATACCTGGATCATCCCCGACAGCCTGTAGAATGTGTTCTTCGGGATCAGGCCTACGAGTTGATCTCGGTCTTCCTAGATCCATAGTTTGCGATCCCACTGATGCTGTCTTAGCACCGCGGCGATAAACAGCAGCTAATGTTAGTCGACTCGGCTGTCTTCGGTCTTGAAATGCAATCTGATACATCCGTGCAGCCTCGTGTCCATTACCATTTGCACGTCCGTATTTAAAAATCATATCTACCTGATCACGAGATGAATATCCTGGCATTGTTAATCAAACACTTCTCAATTAATTCACTGCTACACACGTTAAACAGACTAGCCACAAATGTACAAAAATGACAAATGTAACCTACTTTACATGGCAACACAGCGTCATCTAACGTACAGTTTCTTTAAACTTAATACCTCAAAAACGAAGATTTTGCGGACATATGTTCATATCTCTCTCTCTCTCTCTATATATATATATATATATATATATATATATATATATATCTACCTACCTATGTGTCTGTCTACCACCAATCTATCTATTAAGTGTAACTCTTTTCGCAGAGCATACAAATTCAGCACTGATCCTAAACGGAATTTCTAATCAATATGTAAACAATTCCATAATTTATTGTTAAGATAAAAATGCTACAAACCAAAAAAAAAAAAAACGAATCCGTCTTTTCTGTCCTATAATTTAACCAAGATTGCCATATTCACTAACCCGTTCTTTCAATAATTTTCCTTTCACGCAAAACTTATTTTTTTCCCAATCACTATAATGGCCCAGTTTCACTGCGAAGTCCCAAATAATCCCATGTGTATATTTTTGTGACAGGAAATTTAATGGATGTTATACTACAGGCTGTCTATAAAGTTTGGACACACAGGTAAAAATGTATATTTTCAAGAAATGAAATTTTCAATACCATTTTATTGAATTGGGATATTAACAAATAACATCTCCAATATGATTTCCATCATTTGTGATGCAAAGGCTGATTAGCTTTGCAAGATTCATGTGAACTCTATGCAATAACTCCACATTGCCGTTTACCTTAATGAAGTCAGTCTTTATACTTTCAATCACCTGTGTTGTATCTGTGATTTTCATTGAATACACCCACTCCTTTAGCCTGAAAAAGCAGTCATTTCTTTCGACAAAACCATATTTAGCCTGTGGAACAATATATATATATATATATATATATATATAATATTTCCTATGTGCACAGACTTTAGGGATACCCTGTAGTTATTATTATTACGTAAATATACCCAATTTTACTATATTTCTCTACTGAAATACGTTACTCGCCAGTCGGTTTTAACCTCAAATATGGCAATTGAAAAACATCTGCTTATAAAATGTCAACACAATATATTTTTTTAATTTTCCCGCCACAAGCATTTAAAAAAAATCGCTTAGTATTTTGCAATTTTCTTTTTCTTTTTTCTTTTTTTTCACATTGATATTTTACAAATATATTTATTGTTCAACTCACTATGATCCTAAGCAGACAAAGTTAGTTTCCTATGAACTTAAACTGAATCTGCCTTTCTTTCCATCCTCATACCTAGAATATTGTCTTCCTCTTAAAAGAAAACACCTAAAGTCATGATTAGTTTTCTTTATTTTTGTTATTCTCGAATTTTGGCCCCCTTTTTGTTCTGCCAAACTCTCTTCCAATTTCAATATTGACAAATCGAGATGGGTGTCCCGTGTCACAGATTTTGGGAGGGTAAGGAAGAAAATTTAACGCTTAAGGACGCATAGTTGAGAACTTTGCAATGCGTCATATCAGGCGTTCTCAATGGTGTTTCACGCGTGCGCACTTGGTGTGCACCTTGGTGTGGAAATTATATAAGTAATCTATGCATTTGTGTACAATTCTCTGTATAAGTTTTAAAGAGATTAATATGTGTACATCACTCTCAATGTATTTTATGCAATTTTTCTTTATCACGCTCTCGCATCCAATTTTTCTTTGTTCCTATCTACACATCTATCATTCACTTTCCCTTCCTATCTATCTATCACTCGCTCACCCTTCCTATCTATCTATCTATCACTGCTCTCCCTTCCATTATCTATCTATCTATCACCTATCACTCGCTCTCCCTTCCTATCTATCTATCTATCACTCGCTCACCCTTCCTATCTATCTATCTATCACTCGCTCACCCTTCCTATCTATCTATCACTCGCTCACCCTTCCTATCTATCTATCACTCGCTCACCCTTCCTATCTATCTATCACTCGCTCACCCTTCCTATCTAATAATTAATATTTCTAGAATTCACCCGGATTATATACCAATGAATCTATTACCTGTACTTATATATATATATATATATATATATATATTTCATGTCTGTGTGTGCTCATGTGCAGAGTTTTCCAGTCGATTCTTCGTTCACTTTGCAGTAATGCC